GCACTGCTGTCCATTGCAGGATTTAGAGGGTCAGCATTTCCCTCATGCTATTAAAAAAGACATTTAAACATAGAGAGTATTTTAGGAATTTGAGCTCTGCTGATCTTTTCATCCCATACCTATATTTTGAAATGAACAAATAAATTAGATATACGAAACCTAGGAAATGTTCCCCATTGATTTCCTTCTGTTCCTCTTTCACTGTCTTTTTTTGGACAAAGGTAAATTATCAACTTGTTCTATCAGCTTTCAGCCAGCCACAAAGAGGCTAATTGTGGCTTTAAATATTTTAACATACATTCATTTATTCACAGTATTTTCTGCACACATTGTATTTTCTCTAAACTATTATGGGGAATGTGCCTCACTCCCTGACTCCAGTGGTGGATACTATAGTCAGGCTTGGGCTTTTATCTTCAGGTAGCATTCATTTGTGGAGTGTATAAATCTGTATTTAGCTGCCCATTATTTTCATCTGCTACATAAAACTAATGTTCATTTATAGATTTCAGTGAAGCCAGGCAACCAAAGTATTTGACATCTGAAACAAGGACTGTAATAGGATTTCCTACATCCATATTTGATGTGAATTATCCAAACCTCACAATCTAAAATCCCAGCTAGCTTCATTGAATTTAGTCTTCAAAGTTTTGCTTCCAGACAGTATTCTGTAGTGGATATTGTAAGTATATAACATTACTAGGTTTTTAAAAGAATGGCGCCAGTGGTTCACGCCTGTAATCCTAGCTACTCAGGAGGCTGATCTGAGGATCCAAAGCCACTGGCGCAGGAAAGTCCAAGAGACTCTTATCTCCAATAAACCACTAGAAAACCGGGAGTGGCGCTGTGGCTCAAGTGGTAGAGCGCTCGCCTTGAGCTGAAGAGCACAGGGACAGCGCCCAAGCCGAGTTCAAGCTCCACGACCAACCAAAAAAAAAAAAAAAAAAAAGAATGGCTTAGTGCTAGAATGCTACCTTCTCCACATTGGTATAAACTCCCTTGATGGGCTTTCTGACTAGAATTAGAATTTAAATTGGGTGAAATGAATCCAGAATAGATGAAGATGAACCATGAGTTCATTTCTGATCTTCATTTCATCAAGTATTAGTTGTGTTAATAACTTTGGTTGGGACTGTGAAGTTTGAGATGATGATCTTGTGAACAAAGCTTTGTAGACATTGCTTTCCTGCTACATTGTGCAATCTTCTGTTTTAATATATGCGTAACTGAAAGACTTGTGTGACTGCCTCCCTACCATACTTCCTCCCTGCCCTCTCAGCTCCTATTTTTTCCCACATGAAGTATCATATATTTTGTTAGGAAGAAAAGCCCTTTTGGAAATTGCCAATTTCATAAATTGTCTGGTGACACAAAGAGGTTGAATGCTATATTCTTGTCTCATTTATTTTGAAAACTTTAGTACTGAACTCACCTTAATCAATGAGCTCAGTGTTGTCTCCAATAAGTTATGTGTTGGATATATTGATTGGAAGGGATTTTAGAAAACCCGTCTGGGGTTTATAATGTCAGCAGTGTTTTGATTATGAAAAGAGTTGGAACCTGGGGACATGGAACCAGGTGGTGAATGTCCTAAAGCCACTGGTGACATGGTGGACTGGTTCCCTCCTGGGACCTAGTTCATGCCCTGCACTTTAACTGTGGTGGCTGGCTACTATAGATTCACTTTTTTTGCTCATTAAAATGTTAAAAAATCAAACTGTACATAAAAAGATTTGTGAAAATATAAACTTGGGAATTGATCTGGAGAGCTGGCACACAATCCGCCCCACCCCCTGCCTTGGCAATGAGGTCATTTACATTTCATCAGCTGGGCTGGACCTCTGAGATCCCATTTATGTGGCAGTAGTTGAAGTTGTACTGAGGCTGCTTGTCTGAAAGAGCTTGTGTGGGGGAGAGAACAGGAAAATTGCTGTAGACAAAGGAAGTTCCATAGCCAGGTTCTAGAAAGAAAAAGGGTTTGGTCACAGTTAATGACTGTTTTCCCAGTAAGGTTAATATTGAAAGATGTTAGGGTGTGCTTCCATAACTAGAATGCTGAAAATAGATTCCCATCAGGGTTGTAAAGCCCACCCCCCCCTCCCACCCTTCCCTTGGAGAGTGGCTTTTCCATATTTGAATAATTGTGTTTACTTTGGACAAAGAGGATAAAGCAGTTGAATATTTATATGTGAAGAAAGCATCGATGTTAAGAAAGGCAATTTATCTTAACAGTTTTTATTTATAATGAACACTGCCTGTTTCTCCTCCCTCTTTTTCTCCTCCTTTTTCCAAACTGAGAAGTAGATATTTCAATTCTGATTGAGATCATGTGTAAATATGCCTAGCACCAAGTAGATGCTCATTTTTGTTTTCCTCTGACAGCATGCCACCATCTTGTTTGACTTAAATTGGAATATCAAGCTTTCAAAATAACATAAACATGAAGAAACATGTTGTAATGTACAAACCTGTCCCTACATTTGCCTATATTTCCTCTACTTTCTCCTACTGTTCTTCTCTACTGCTTAATTAGACTTATCTCTGTTTTTGTGGGTACAAAGGAAAGCTTGTGGAAGGTGGATTACACTCAGCCTACATTGGGTATTTTGATATTTGCACTAATATTATCTGACAGGCAAGTTCATGGTTGGTTATTACTCTTGACATTAGAAAGTGGTAAGTAGTTTTGATATTGTAGTGGGTAATAAGTTGGGCATATTAGATTCCTTTTTCTTTGCTGTAGAGCGCAGTGCTTTCTCATAGCCATGGGAGTTCTTTCTTTCAAAAATCTTTGAGGCCTTTTGCTAGCTCATCTCCAACATAGAGTAGAGAAGTCTTTCTGCACCTGAAACTTTTGAGAGGTGAAAGATAAATGTCTTTGTAGCTGATATTGGCAGTGAGTGAACATTTGGTACTAAGTTTTAAAGCATGTTCGGTACGTACTTTGAGGTTAAGAGATACTTTGTGGTATTATTTGAAACAGAAGAATCCTTGTTGTTGTTTTTTATAGAGGCATGAGCCACCAGCTCTTGGCTTAACATTCTTAACTTTTTAATTTTTATTTATTTATTTATGTCGGTTGTGGGGCTTGAACTCTGGGCCTGGGTGCTGTCCCTGAGCTCTTCAGCTCAAGGCTAGTGCTCTACCACTTGAGCCACAACGCCACTTCCACTTGTTGTTTTTAAAATACACATAAGTCACAAAGTTTTGTTTATGTGTATCACTGTACATTTCATAATTAAAACTGAAGACATTAAAATAAATGTTTTATATGGTCTCTTTTTGTAATACTTGCATGATAGGAACATTAAATATTGAGAAATTACTCTTGTTCCCATTCCTTTATTAGCTATTGCAGTTTATTTACATAATTGTTTTAAAAATGATATATATATATATATATATATATATATATGAACCTGTGAATGCTCCGATAAAATTAACAAATTTATAGATAATGCCTCTCAGAATATGCTAGCCATTCTTGTTTACTCTTTCTTATTTTTTAGTTTCCTATTTATCATTCTTTCATAACATGCCTTAACAGTGCTGTGATATACATAGTACCAGTTCAAGATGATATTAAAAAATAGGATATGCTCAATTGAATTATGTAGGCGGAACATGCTCTGGCAGAGCAAGTCAATGTGCTTTCTGCTTCATTGAGTGGGTTATTAGATTGATGTGGTTTATTTCTTGAATGATAGAACTGGTTTTAAAAATAAATGAAGCGAGAAGCATCAATTCAGTTAGCATTGATAACTCATTATTATTGGTTAGAAAAGTGCTACATTTGTAAACTGATCTTTAATTTATCACTTGGATTAGTATTTGCAGTGGGAAGGTTTGTTTTAATTTGAACCAGCTTCTCAGTGACTGAAAAATGTGTTCTTCATTTTGTCTTGAAGTTGGATTTTAAATAGTTAAAAAGCAAATCAAATGCATGAAAGGAATACTTTTCAAAATTTATAACATTGGTCTATGAACTTATGATAAGCACCAACTGTGGACTGTCCAAACCTGCAGTTAAACTGAGCTAAAGTAAATTCTATGAAGGAAGTAGCAGTTAATTACTTATATATGTGGTTAGTAATGTGTCTATATACTGGGTGTGAAAAATGTGTCTGTTGGGAAAAGTTCCACATCACTGTAGATGGTGTTGTATGTACTAGCATCCTTGTCTTAATTTAAAAATACTGTTTTTCATGGATAAGTCTTTGAGATGTCATTCTAGTTTTTGTGCCCTTTTTTTGAATAATGTGTTTGGCTGATACACCTCTGTATTTGTATTTTTAAAAAAGGGATTTAAACTAATACTTTGGTTTGGATTTTAATAAACTGAAAACAGGTATGTCTAATTATAGTAATGATATTAAGCTAAAGACAGTATATACTTATAACGGTTCCAGCTTGATCCCAAAATTATTTTGTGACAAAAATGTCAACTTTTTTATAAAATAAGTGGTTGTAAACTCTAAAAAAATATTGCTGACAAGGTTCAAAGACAATGAACTTCAAGTTGGCTTTCTGTTCTGCTGTAATTTTGCCTATTGATGTTGGGAAGTGTTGTTTAATCCTGGCCCCCTCTGTTCCTAGGTAACAGGCAAAAACAGTGCCAGCAACAGCGGCCCTGCCAGGCCAAACCCATGTGGCTTGGTGTTATTCACTCTGATCCATATGGTCAGGCTGGAGATGGTCCCTGGAGGGGTGTTAACACTCTGCAACCCAAGCGCCTCCCTCCCTTTGGAGCTTTCCTGCATGGCTCCTGCTGCTTACCCATGTGTGATTCTTGATTAATTTTTCATTTTTAATGAAGTTTGATCATGTTTATTATTTCTCATGATTGACTGCCTGGTACTCCTCCTTGTAATTGATAAAGCCCATATTTCTTCATCTGTCTCCTCTTTCTTCAGGGTAAAGTTGGTAGATTGTGTGTTGTGGTTAATGTTAGATTTATTGGTCCCATTAGATGTATAAATTATCTCTCTTTCTCTCCACAGGAAGTTCTACAGACTTTGACCAAGTTTTGTTTCCCCTTCTATATGGACAGGTAGTGTCAGATTTTCAACTTTATTAGAAAAAAAAAGTGTCATAAACCTTCTATAGAAAATAAAAACCATACCATTCTTAACATTCTGTCTGTTTAACCATGATTTAAAGCATCTATGTTCCATGGAGAGTTGCAATATTTTCTTTTCCTGGGGATTTTATTGATACCATCAAAAAGTTTAAAGCTTAGAGCTTTGTATTCGTTAGTTTGTGATATATGTTTTGGATGACATTTAAGTTTTGATTTTGGTTATCAGACTTAAGCCATGATAAGAATGGTTGGTGTTCAATCCAGTACTATTTAATTTTTTCTTTAAGTGTAAATGTATTTGGCTTAAACAAATAATATTACATGACTCCATGGTCTTATGAGTATTGTATAGATGTGGGTTTTTCCAGTCTTTAACTTATACTTTAAATCAGGATAGGCCTAAAAAAGCCTGCTCTTTCAAAGGCATGTTTCTTAGACTATTTTAAATTTTGTCTTAAGTGATTGAGAGTGTTTAGTATTTCTCTGGAGAAATCAGCATTAATACTGAATTTGGCATTCATACTAAAAAGTATACAACTATCTAAACATTTTTCTAGTATTTATAACCATTTTCTAGAAAGGTACAAATATAAGAACTCCAAGGTAATTAAAACAATCCAAGGTTTATTTGTGGTGAACTTATTTTTAAAATAAGCCATAGTTAAATGATAATATTTTGGAAGTTTTAAAAAATTTTACTTTATAAAATTGTAATTTACTGATTATATTAATAGAATATCAATACAGCTGTCTTTGAAAGAAATGTTTACTGTAAGTTTTCATTATAGTTGAAAATACTATTTTTGTAATCATTAATTTGTTCACTTGATTGTTGTCTCTTAATTTTCTCTTAATGGAAAATTGAACTATGAGACTGTATGCGTTGCCTTGAAAAATTAATCTTTAGTGACAGGTTGTAAAAAATAAATATTGGAAGTAGCAACTTCCATAATATGCTTCAAGAAAGCTACAAAGTGGGCCCATTTTCAGGAAGACTTTATCAGTATTTTAATATACATGAATGAGGCTGGATCTGAGGACTGTAGTCGTGTTGAGAGCATGTGAGTAGCCTGTTTTCTGCTTAGGTCTTTGTATTACTTTGTAATACTACTGTTCTGGCTTATTTGGCATAAGCCTAAAAATGGTGTTGGATGAGAATTGGTAGCCAAAGGAGTTTAAAAGAGTACTAAAGAGCAACTTTGGAATGTTGCCAGCCACTTATAATCACTGCTCTCCCTGGTTCTAACATCTTACGTTTTCAGCCAATCAACTATTGTAGTATTTCCAGACTCAGATCTCTTTAAATCCTAGTACCAGGGATGTTTTAGTGGCAGATTGGTGCTCAAAACAGAATAGTCTTAATTTTAAGAGAGCCATTCTTAGTAATAAGAGGCTTTTTGTCTCTTATTCCATCTAAAAATAAAAAGGAAATAGGGTATTGTTTAGAGATGTTTCACATTTGTATGTATGAATTAGTGATGCATGAAATCTCCAGTCACTTCTGAAATGTATTACAAATTATGGCAAAGACATACTTGTACAAAGTAATAAAGTTGAAATGATTTTTTAATATAGTTATTTAACAAAAATGTATGAGAATATGACTTATTATATGACTTTATATGACTTCATATTAGAGAGGTGATCTGTTTTTGATAGATATTTCTTAATTGACTTTGTAAACTAATGTTAGAAGAAATTTAAAATGAGATTAAATCTCTGCCCCACCCTAACTCATATGCATGCACACACATAAAACATACACACTTTTCTCTTTCTCTCATCACCACTGTACCCCTCTGCTATGTACCTGTCTGGATGATTATATTCTGAAATGGAAGAAAAGCAAAGTCCTATCATTGATAATTCTAGGATCATTTTTTGTCACCAGTATTGCTAGATACCTTTTCATTGTCGTCAGAGAAATATTTCTCTTCTAAAACCCAGTTCTTTAAATTACTCTCCCTTAATCATGTTCTTTACAATTTTTTGCACAAAATTACTTAGTGATAGAAATGTCTCTTCATGGGCATGTTGACATCTTGCTGTCTTGTGTTGTTTTTAAGTTTTTTCCCCTGAAATCTGGACTTATGAAAAATAATAATACTCAGTATTTTCTTATGTGTTACCTCATTTTCTCATCATGAGATGTGAATAAGTATCATTATGTTCATTTGAAACAGTCTAAGCTGCAGAGAAATTGACTTACCCACGATGCTTGAGGCTCCTACCTAATTCTAGGTTTTCATCTCTCAAATGAATGTCTTATTCAGCAGATCACCTCGTGGAGAATGTCAGTAAACATAGAGAGAAATGGAAGGGATTAACATTTGGGTTTCTAATCGCTTTTAGTCAAAGTTCTAGATATTGTCTGATATTTCATTTATTCTTTGGAGCAACTCTAGATGATAGGTATTATTTCCCCCACCCCCTCCAGAGAACAAGGGAAGGCTCAGGATGTGTTGGGTGATGTGCAGAATATGGAAATGGTCTTAGACTTGGAGCTCTGTCTTCCATGTGTTCCTAGTAAAATCTAAGCAGTATAATAAAAGCATTTTAAACACTGTTTGAAAAGATGAAGCGGTTAGAGGAGACTGACATGGTCGGAGAAAACTTGTTATGGTGGGTGAGACTTGTGTTGAGTCTGCCAGGCCAGCAAGAAGTGGATAAGAGCAAGGGGGAGCCTAACACCCCATATGTACTGCAGAGCAAAGCAGAGGAGAAACCCTGAGTGAGCCTGGAGATGTTCAGCCAGAGCAGATGGAGCCTGCTGGGAGAGGGTGATGTGTACCATGAGAGGTTGGGCTCTGGCCACAGGAGGCCTTGAAAATGCGTGGGAGCAACACTTCTAGATTTTAAAGCTGAGACTCATCTGGGTTGAACATCCCATTTTACAGATAGGAAACCAAGATCCATGGAGGGGAAGTAACTGGCTTATTATCACAGCTGTGTAATTACAGGCCACCGTTATTTCTATCATCCTTTGTCCTCAAAACTCGTGGTGAAGAAGAATATTGGCATACCAGTGCCAATTCCTTATATAGAGCCCCAAATCTTTTCTCCTTATTGATGATGTAAACAAAAGTGGAGTCCCATTCTATATCAATATTTCGGTTGCTGTTTGCTTGCTCTTGATGGCTGACAGCTTCAGTTTGTCAAAGCTCTCAAGATGTAGTGGATTATGGCAAAGCTATTCTTTTCCCTGTTTGTACTTATCTGAATGAACTCAAAGTATGTTACCATCAGTTGCCATAAACTATACTTATATCCTTATATGGTTAGGAGAATGAAATGAAATGACAACATCTCTTTAGGAACAAAGATACCATTTAATTATATAGGATGTAACCACAGATACAAATGTAGTTCAAATGCTAGTTATCATTTTATTATTACATAACTACATTTTTGCTATGTGCTTGGCATTCTGCTGCATGCTTTTCTTGCACTGAAATGTTACCAATTTGCAGTGTTCATATTATCAGGTTTCCACATGTAGAGGAATAGAGGCTCAGATAGATTCAGTAACATGCCCAAGGTTCCACTCCTAGTGTGTAGTAAAAATGCTTTCCCAATCATTTTTCACAGTCCAGTTCTACCATACTTTTTTTGTTTTACCATGCTACCTCTATTAAATTCATCCAACATAAAGCAAACTTTCAAAAATTTATTTCAGAAGTCACATATTCATTGTAGAAAAGTAAGAAATTTAGATAGCTGAAGAAAATACCATGCATGCACAATATGAGTAGTAAATATGCATGTATCTTCCCAGACCTCTCCTCTTAGGTCCACTTTATTTTTCAAACCAAGTCCACTTGGGCCCTGTTAGTCCATAGTTTAGCTTAAATTATGTGCTCACTTGTGTTTCATGATTATTTTCACAGCATTAGATAATGGCAGAGCAATTGGGCCTTGCTGGACAGTTTGGGGGAAGCAAACAGCAGATCTAGGTTTTAATTTAGGTGCTACCACTGACTTATTCTGTGCTATAAGGCTTTTAGCTTCTCTTCTAAGCTCTTTCATTTCTTCATGGATAAAATGAGGGAATTGGATGAGTTCTCTATTGTTCCTTTGGCTTTGGTACTTTTAAAAAGCTTTTACCTATTTATTTACCTGGGGCTTGAACTCAGGGCCTTGTATTCTCACTTGGCTTGTTCACTCATGTCTTGCAGTCTACCATTTGAACTATACCTCCAGTTCAGGGTTTCAGTACTTTTTATTTTAATAGTTATTCATACTTCCTTTGTCAGTCTCATGTAAGGAAGGCAGTGGACAGATCTCTATTCATTGTTAGAATTGTTTGGTGAGTTTCTTCAGCAGATAGTTGTTACCTTTTGTCTGGTAGTGTGTGGCCTATTGTGATCTTTGAACAAAGAGGCAAGAAACCTAAGATTAGGCAGATTAAAGGTGTTTTATAGAAGGGAGCTTTGAGGCTCATTTAATTACATATGGGAAGAAATAGTTTGATAGTTACTCATGCCTGTAATCCCAGTTCTTTGGGAGACAGATACTGGGATTGCAGTTTGAGGTCAGTTTGGGCAAAGTTAATGGGAAACTAAAGCCAAAATAAAAGCAAATGACTTGGGGGATTGCTTAATTCTTAAAGCCTTTACTTTGCAAGTAAGGCTCTAAGTTGAATCCTCAGTACAAAACCACAACAACAAACAAAATAAGAAAGAAGGTAGAACTGGCAGTATGGCTCAAGTGGTAGATTGCCTGCCTCACCGAGGTGAGGCCCTGAGTTCAAACCTCAGTACTGCCATTAGTGAAAAATCTCATTATTGCCAGAAAAAAAGAAAAGAAAAGTGGTTGCCTAATGCTACTTATTCACTGAAGGAGAAGATAGCTTCATAAAAGTCTTAGAAAACTGTTAGTAAGCTCTAGTAAATAGGGTGAGAAAATGTTTTATTTCTACCTCTTGAATTTTATAATTGCCTAACAATAATGATTTTTTTGCTTTGTACCTA